AAAAAATGTCCATTTAGGTTCTTCGAACTTGTTACTGCTGTTGAAAATGAACGTCCATTAGACTCCACTAACCAGTAGAAAGTCGAGTAACTGTTCTAAAATCAAAACTTTTCAAAAACAAATTCTACTGATGTGCAGCCAGCTTTGATTTCACGGTTTTGGATGTTACATAGTTACATAGTATTTGAGGTTGAATAAAGACATAAGTCCATCAAGTCCAACCTATTGCGTGCATGTGTATGCTTCTGCTGATGTGTGCATATGTATAGGTCCCTGTTCATCTCATTCTTAAGAGTACGTGTACCCCTGTATATTATGGTCCCTCAGGAAATCGTCCAAAAGCTCCTTGAATGATTCCACACTCTTGGCTGAAATCACTGCATGTGGCAGGGAGTTCCAGACCCTAACCGCTCTAACTGAGAAGAACCCCCTTCGCCCCTTGTGCTGAAATTTTTTCTCCACCAATTTTAGTTATGGGGTTAACCGTAAAGAGTTTGTTGCTGTCCCCGGTAAACATTTTATACATGAAAATCATGTCCCCCCTTAATCTCCTTACTTCCAACGAGAATATATTTAAATTTAGTAGCCTTGTCTCGTAGCTCTGGTCCTCCATACCCCTAATTAGTTTGGTTGCCCTCCGCTGGACTTTTTCCAACTCAAGGACATCTTTTCTTAGTACTGGTGACCAGAACTGGACCGCGTACTCCAGATGAGGTCGAACCAATGATCTATAAAGTGGCAAAATTATAGACTTGTCCCTGCACAACATCCCCTTCTTAATACAGAACAGGACTTGCTTTGTTTACAGCAGCCTGACACTGCAAGCTATTATTCAGTCTGTGGTCTACAATGACTCCCAAATCTTTTTCCATTTCTGACTTCCCTAGTGGCATACCCATAATTGTATAGCCCATTTGCCTATTTTTAATCCCAAAGTGCATTACTTTGCATTTATCGACATTGAACCTCATCTGCCATATAGTTGCCCACTCCCTTATTTTATCCAGGTCCCCCTGTAATGTTATATTGTCTAAGTCCATGTCTATTACCCTCCCGATTTTGGTATCATCAGCAAACACTGAAACATGGCTATTCACGCCCTCCCTGATATCGTTAATAAACAGGTTGAATAGCATGGGGCCCAGCACAGAACCCTGAGGCACACCGCTCATGATCATAGCCCAGTCTGAAAAGGTCCCATTTATCAATACTCTCTGTACACGTTCCTATAGCCAGTTCTTTATCCACGTACACACTAATTAATCTATGCCTTTGTATCTCAGCTTATGTAGTAAGCTTTTATGTGGTACTGTGTCAAAAGCCTTTGAAAAATCCAGATATACTACATCCACCGGCCTCCCTCCATCCAGATCTCTACTTACCCCTTTGTAAAAAGTTAGCAGGTTGGTCTGGCAGGAACTGTCCTTCCCTAAATCCATGCTGGTTATCATTTATTATGCCATTATCCTGAACAAACTCTACTAAGTAGTCCTTTAATCATTCCCTCTAACAGTTTGCAAACTACCGATGTAAGACTAACTGGTCTGTAGTTTCCAGGTTGACATCTTGACCTCTTTTTGAATATTGGTACTACCGTAGCCTTCCGCCAGTCGCTTGGTACTCTACCAATCATTAAGAAGTCCTTAAAAATTATGGTTTCGTTATAACCTGGCTTAGTTTTTTAAGTAACTTGGGGTGCAGGTTATCTGGTCCAAATGCTTTATTTGCATTAAGTAGTTTTAAGCCTATGTTGTATCCCGTCTCTGTCAACCACTGGGGTATATTTTGTGTTTAACTATGTGTTTTATCATGTACATTAAACCCGTCTTTTTGCTGAGTGTATACTGAGGAGAAAAAAGCGTTCAGCGCCTCGGCCCTCTCCCCGTCGTTTGTGACTAACTTCCCATTTTCGTCCTTTATTGGGCCTATCTGCTCCTGTCTTACCTTTTTACTGTTTAAGTATTGGTAGAATTTTTTTGGGTTCCTCTTACTGACTGTGGCGATATGCTTTTCGCACTCAATTTTAGCTTCCCGGATTACTTTTTTACATCTTTTATTACAATATTTGTAGTTATGGAACGCCAATGCCCTCCCCTCCATCTTATATTTTCTAAATGCCACGGTCTTATCCTTAATGTGTTGATTCACTGTTCTATTTATCCATACAGGCTTAGTTTTTGATCTTTTGCTTTTGTTACCCAACGGTATACACTTGGTGATAGCCTTTTCTAATGTGTTCTTAAAACAATCCCACTTCTGGTCAGTGCTCAGTTTGTGAAATAAGTTTTCTCATTTGATGTCACACACCCGTTGGCGTAGCTCATTAAAGTTAGCCTTTCTGAAGTTTAGGGTTCTTGTCCGACCAGCCCTCTTCCCTTTCCTGTACCTAATGAAAGTAATCACATAGTGATCACTGTTACCCAGTGGTCTCCCCAATTGCAATATCCTCAATTAACTCTGCATTATTAGAAATGATTAAATCTAGGATGGCATGTTTCCTAGTTGGAACCTCAACCATCTGATCCATGAAGTTGTCTCGCAGCATGTTCAGAAAACGAATTGGAGGTTCCATTAGCCCAATTGATGTCTGGATAATTGAAGTCACCCATCACAACGACATTGCCCTGCTTCCCAGCTGTTTCTATTTGAGAGTGTAGATGTGTCTCCTCCTCCTCCCCTAAATTCGGAGGTTTATAGCAAATACCCACAATAAGTTTAAGGCTAGCCTTCGTCCTATCTAGTTCTAGCCACAAAGATTCCACGTCATCTCCACTATTTGACGTGATATCTTCCCGTATGTGCATATTTAGATTATTTTTAACATAAATGCACCCCCCTCCCCCTTCTCCTACTCCTGTCCCTCTTGAACAGGTTGTACCCTTCTATATTAGTAGCCCAATCATGTGCGCTGTCCAACCAAGTTTCCGCTATTCCCACTATATCAAAGTCCACCTCGAGTAGCATAAGTTCAAGCTCTTCTAATTTATTTGCTAGACTTCTAACATTGGTGTACATACATTTAATTCTTGTCCTACTATGGAATAAATGTTTACTTCTTTCTTGCTCCCCACTACTTTTTTTTATTTGGCCTTGCTATGGGTGGTCCATTCCTAATTAGATTAACTTGGCCCATTTGATTTACTATTTTGACTGCGTTGACTCTGTTGACTGGAGTGAGCCCCCTGTATTACTCCCTTCTGTTTTTTTAGTCCCCGTGTTTACTTGTTTATATATTTTTATACCCTCTCCCCCATTATCTAGTTTAAAAGCTCCTCCAGTCTTTTAACCATTTTTCCCCCCAGAAATGCTGCACCTTCTCCATTGAGATGCAGCCCGTCTCGGCTGAAGAGCTGGTAACCGAGAAGTCAGCTCAGTTCTCCAGGAAACCAAAGCCCTCTTTCCGACTCCAGCTCCGGAGCCACTTGTTAAGTTTCCTCAACTCGCGCTATCTGTCCGGAGTTTTGTATTAGGAAATAGATTGTATTGAAATGGAAGGTCTTTTTTTGTTGGAAGGGGGGTCTTATTTTAGTGTTGTGATAGGTAATATGCAAATAAAGGTGAGGGGGAAGGCAGGTGTTTTGGGGATGCTTTAGTGTTGGAAATAATTTGTTATCTAATGTTAGGTAATTGGCAGATTTTTCTCCTTCTTGGTACAGGGAGCCATGAGCTGAAAACTGCCGGCTGCCATATTGCTGGCTATGAGAACATATATTTTGTATCTATGGGTACCTTTAGTATATATTTGTCACAGTGCTGTAATGTCTGAGCCGGAAGGTGAAATTACAGGGGAAGTCACGCCTTGCTCTATCCCCTACTGCTTCTGAACCTCTCCATTTGTCCATGAGGGCACCCATTACATGGATGGACCAAGAGAAGGTTGCAGGGATAGGTCGAAGCAAGACTCTGGTAGCTCAAGTGTGAATGTGTCCTCCTCTATAGTGCTCTTCAACTGTTTTAGGTAAGAAGGCTACAAGGATGCTTAGGCAGCTATACGTTTCTGTATTTCATATCTACATTCAGTTTAGAAACTATATCAGGGATCCCAACCTGAAAGAAGCCATTTCAGGGAGGTGTCCTCATTTCAGGGAGGTGCCCTCTACGCCCCCCCTCCCCCCCATCCGCGGAGGGGGGTTAGGGGGGCTGGGAGAGAGCACCCCCCTGAAATGATGGCAGATAGCACAGGAAGCAAGGTTTTTTTTCTGATTTTGTTTTTAGTATTCTGACAGTTGCAGTCGTCAGAATATTAAAAAAAAGGCATAAGAATGCATAGCTAGATTCCTATTGGCTATTGCACTTTGTGGATGATGTCAGTGTATGGGCCTGGAAATTGGCTATTCAGGCTAAAGCATTGTCACATGGAGGGCACATCCTCCACAATATTGGGAAACCCCTCTAGTGAGTATACCTTGCTGGGACGAGGGGGGTTGTAGGTTATCGGGAGATGCTGTCACTGAATGCCCTGGTGCTCTGAATGTGCAAAGTGACAGAACCTTTTAGCACTGCTGCCCATCTGTAGTTTGTATTTTAGGGGAAGGGCACAGATACAAATTCATCCATCTCTTGTTGAATACGAGTAGAGACGGCAAAAGCGTTTTGTATTTAGTGATCTCATCAGCTGTTCAATTTCCAGTTTTTGCTAATAGACTAGAAAAAGATTTCTAAAGATATGGAAAAACAAAATCTGTGTCGCGTACAGCTTAATCCTTTCCTGTCCATTTCCAGTGTTGTTGAAGAATCTGCTAGAAAAGTATCACCCTGTTCCATTTGAGCTTTCATTAGTCGTTTCATCTAGTTCTTTGTTAATAAAAGGGAAAAATAGCACTATCTATTTTAGGAGTGGGACGCAAGTTGGTGTAGAAGGTTTAGGATGTTCGTACAGTAGGTAGATTGAACCCGTATACAAATTCCCACTGTGTACACCACTTACATGCTTTGTTTAGTAGTTATGGATTTCCATATATGACTTCCTAGAACTGACTGGAGATATTTCTTTTCTGCAGGAAAGGACAATCATTTGCTGGCTTAGTGTGAAGAAAACGCAGGCAAGATGCCGAAGCCGGTACGTATAATACATGTATTTATACTTGCATGCTGTTTTTGGTTTTGTATTCTGGTAATCTGCATGGGTGGACTTGAATTTAGCAATAACCAGTTGTCTGTATTTTCATCACTTAAGATCTTTTTACAGTTTCAAAACATCCCGGGTAGTTTGAATATATAAAAGATGAAGTGTATATGATGTCTTGCATTATAAAATATTTAAGATATTAAAGTTTGTGAAGGAACACTAAGGCTAGCCACACACCGCAGGATTGAGCGAAATTAGTAGATTCACCCATCCATGCTAAACAACATGGAAAGTGCAGTCCTCACTTCTGACTATTGTACTCAGCAGCTGTTGCTCCTGCAGCTGCTGAATACCTGATCTGATTGGATGCAGGCACTGTTTGACTAATAAAATCAAATATGTTTGATTGTGACACACCCCTCCATTATGCTCCACCTCTTTAAAAGATGGGTAATCCCTTTACCAAAGGATTGTATTTTTTTAAATAACCTTTCAAGAACCCAGGAAGTTCCTAGTATGTTCTATAGTCCTGTACTGCTGAGCCCACATTGGTAGTTGCTGCCACATAAAAAGGTCAGTGTAATGGGTGCTTTTGACAGTTATTGCAGCGTGTGCTGTGCCATTCATTTCAGTGGCTTGACTACACACTCTAGGGCTCCGCAACGCATGGTTAACAAGAATCTAATTGCCCCTGTGGAGGACATCACCGTGTCTAAAGACTCGGCGACCAAAAGGCTAAAAGCCCTTTATTAGGTCCTGTTCACCCTCACAGGCCCTGTATGCAACCTGCCATTGCAGCCATGTCCAAATGCCTTGACATGGCTGCAACATGACCTTGGGCTGTCTAGCCCAAGGTCATGTTCGGGGATCCTGGTTCCACCCTGATGGATCATTTTGTCTTCCAGCAGCTTGACCTTCTTCTTGTGGTCCTACTTTATTGTGTTGTGGATATTATATGTCAAATATCCACAATGGGCCTTCTCTTGATGCACATGTGAGGATAATTTTGGCTCAAATGACTGCATAGCATCAGTGCAAAAGATGCCCAAGTTCTTTGATAGGGGATTACTACTTTGGTAAATGCCTGGACAACTCAATTAAAGGAAAAGTATCCTTTTTGCCCCGGAAAAAGAAGGAAAATTCTCCATCTGGTAAACCTTGTACTCTTGAGGCTTCCCAGGCAACGATTGGAACTTAGTTCTGTTGCAAGTCATGGACTCCAAAGTCCTCAATCTGCAAACAAGTCCTCACAATGAGGGAGCACCCCTCACCACAATGGGGGGAATGTCTGTTGGCCTTCATGGCCATCTGGTCCCAGTACATTTTAAAAGGTTGGTTCCAGAATCTTGTATCCTGAGGATTCAAACTAGAATTTTGGTTTCTGCCTTCACCCTGCTTTGTTAGATTTGTTAGCATCGCCACAAAAATTGGCAGACCTTTACACTGCTCTGATACAACTCCTCTGTCACAGGGCATACCCATTGTCCACAAAAATTAGAGGTTTCATGGTTTCTATTCAAATCTGTTCACTCGTCCCCAAGGCAAAAAGGGGCATCTGCCTCATATTAGGTGTAAAGGTGCTCAAAACTTTCCACCAGGTACAAATATTCTTCATTGAACCTGCCTAGTCAGTCTTTTGCTTTCTTATTGTGTCCCTTTTAATATGTGATTTAAGAACAAAGATTTTGTTTTACTTTATTGTAAAATCCTTTTCTTGGAGTATAATAATGGACACTACTACTACTTGCTACAAAACTGAGGCATGCTTTTCGTGGAAGGGGTTATATATACTGTGCTGTCCTTTTTAGCTTTGTATGCCACTGTCCAATCTTCTTTAGGGCAGCAACCTAACCCAATGTGCCTGACTAATTCATCCTGTAGCCCTAACATGCAAAAAGAGGATTTTACAGTTAGTTAAAAAAATCCTATTATATGAGAGACGCACGCTCTCTTGGAAGTAGGATCACATTTCTGACTGTGAATGGGGGTTTTGTTCACGGAACTCCATTAATTCCAAAATCAAATGTTAAAACCAAATGAAATTTCTAACGACATTGTACAAGTTTCTGATTGCTTTATTAAATGTTCTGACTAGATTTTTTTTATACGAAAGTTCTTTTGAAAGTCTACCAGCATTTGGCCAGTTTAAGAGTGAAGATTAGAAGTAGTCCATTGGTGACTGGTTCTCTTTAAGTGTGTATTAATGAAAATTGCTTTCCTGAATGTGTGAAATGTGCATATTGACATTCATTTGTTTACTTTTTAGTTGTCACCTTACAAGTTTATCCTAAGGATATAACATGGTGATGTTACGGGATTCTTTACCACGGATCATTCTACTTCTGGCTACTGTTACTGTTGTTCTCCTCTATTTTTAATCATGATGGAATGGAACAATGCCATCTAAATACAGTCAAGTAAATTATTGCTTGAAAACATGTAATTACTGGGGCTTGGCTGGCTGCTTTCATTTTATTCTTCCAAAATTAACCTTTTACAGGGTGTGTGCCAAGTGGTGGAGTTTGTACTTCAAGCATACTGGAAACTTATTGCCATATGCAGTGCCTTACAGAGTACCTAAAACCATACATATAAATGCACCTGTCAGGTCAAAGTAGAAACAACAATACATATGATATTGCTGTAAATTGAAATTTACGTAGTGGGTCATCACTGAAAACATTTCACTTCCTACAACTACTTTAAGGCAGACACGCACTACTATCTGATTGTAGAATCTTCTCAACAGCATCCAAGAAAGGGTAGTACTAAGCGGTCCAACTTTTGTACACATCCATTTAGCTTGTTTGCTTTTATGCAGAAGCTTTTTAATTAAAATGCCTCAAAATGTATTTTAAAGTCCAACTGCAGCACAAATTTTTTTTCTTAGTTTTAGATTAGAGAACCGTTATAAATTCTTATCAGATTTGTATTGCTGTCTCTTGGGGAGATTTCCCCTTCCTGTCCCTGTTACACCAGGGCAAGAAATCAATGGTATGGATCTTGCCAGAAAAGAACAACACAAATGACAATACAAATCTGTCTATCCTGTAACTACTCAACTGGGGACACAGATGGTAATAAAAACATGACAGATGTTCTAAAATGTCTCCACTCTATCCAAAACTGAAATTAAACTTTGGCTCAAGTTGGGTTTTAAATGCCAATTTTTTCCAAAATTGATATTTTGCTTTACAGTATGCGTTGGGTGGCTAAATCACTTGCAGGTTATTTACTAAAGAGCCAAAGGGTTAAGCCGTAGCTTCGGCTAATCCTTCTGCTCACTTCGGCCGCCGGAGCCCTTTGGCTCAGCTATTCACAATAGCCCATATAGCAGCCGTACAGCTTTGCTGAGCCAAACACATATGCTCCGGCACGGCTGAGTCAAAGTCACAGCTAAAGCGGGCAGACCGCTCTCCCCGCAAAATGTAACTAACAATGTAAACAAAACAAAAAAAACAACCTGGCATGGGGTTACCCCTAAAAGTCATACCAGGCCCCTTAGGTCTGGTAGGAATTTTAAGGGGGAACTCCACCCCCAAAATTTTTTCCAATCAGACCCTTAATCCAGGCACAGGCAGGGCAGGAAAGGGGGAGGATGAGCGAGTGCAGCCGCCCCGCGCCATACCAGGCCAAATGCCCTCGGCATTTGGAGGGCGCACCATGTACCCATGCCGATGAGGACAAGGGCCTCTTCCGCCACAAACCTGACCCGGTGGTTCTGGGGGTCTGTGGGCACGGTGGCTTATTTGCATTGGGGTACCCCCAGTAATAAAGGGGGCACCCAGATGCTGCCCCCTCCTCTGAGTAATTATTATTATACAGGATTTATATAGCGCCAACAGTTTGCGCAGCGCTTTACAATATAAGGAAGACATTACAATCACAATACAATTTAAGACAGGATGGTAAGGAGGGCCCTGCCCGTGAGGGCTTGCAATCTTAAAGTAATGGGTACTTGTACCCCTACTCATTCACTACAGGGTTAAAGTTAAGAGTAAATAAATAGCCCACACTTTAAGAAAAAATCCTTTCAGATAAGAGTTTTGGCTTTAATGGTATGATCATTGCGTCCCCTTTCTCCATATATTATGAGGTATAAATAATGGGCAGGATTTTCTATAAAGATTTTTCTTACATGCTGTGGCTGAAACTTTACATTACACATAATTCTGTGGACACCTGCTGCGTGTCTTTCCTTTACTCACTGTGTACATCAGTAGCAACCGTAAACACATGACGTCTACTTCACAATGAGGTGACCTCATTTGCAAGTTTCAAATACCTATTCAAAACGCAGAAACAAGAGTTTGTAAAGTAAAATAGTTCTGCCTTTGTGTATGCCGGAGAGGTATTAAAGGAGACTTGTAAACTAACAGGGTTTTTTTTTTTTCTTTAGGAATACTTTAATAACTGCCCCTATAGACTAACCCAGTGCAACTCACTTCCTCATAGTAAAGAATAGGTAACTCCCCCCCCAGCCTGTATCCCATACCACACAGCTCTCTGCCTAGTCTAGGAAGGAGCACTGCCACATGTCTTTTTGGGGTCATACCTTTGCAAAGACGATCTTTGTGAAAGCCGGTATTTGCATAGGTGTTACGGTAATGTGGATTTTTTTTTCTTTCCTTTCCTTTTCTCATTGAAGTTGCCCTTACATCACTTAGCCCACAAAAATAAAAACCTTTAGCCTAACATAAATCATGAAGTGGAACTCCTACCAACATTTTTGCTTTATATTTTTGTTCAGGACAAAGTACATTTTTCTGGTAAATATGAAATATTATTGTACATTAATAATTCATTTTTAACACTTTCCATCAGCAGCTTGCTGATGCAAGACAACAGGCATTTAAACCCATGACTGTTTTACTACAATGTTCTCCATGGCCTGTGTTATGACTTGAATAGCAGGATATCAGGCCACACACACAGCTGAAGGAGTCAGAGATGGGGCTCCTCTACATTTCCAATCTGCAGGCACAATCAAC